AGGCTGTCGTGTCATCCATATTCAATGCAAACGAAACACCAAACATTGTATTGTACGGAAAAGGTATACGTAGTCTAAAGGTAAATCAGAGCGTACCGATTGGTTCTTTATCGGTCGGGATCTTGCCATACGGACCATTTCCTTTTTGTTTCTTCTACCATATAATATACTACTGTGTTAAACTGTAGCTTGCTCGACCTGTACTGGGGTTTGGCCCTCGGTCGTTTTTGTACGTTCTGCAACGTACTACCTCTGGCTAATAGTCCCCAGTATGACCCTCGCACTCGGCTAGTAAGAGGCTGGTATCATCTAAAGACTTCTGCCACAGCAAGTAAGCATGGATGCGAGTGCGTGGCTGATGGCGTCTGGGTAAGTGCATTGATCGCTCTCATAATCACCTTAGGGGGTTGCTATTGCGAAATTCTAGATGCTAACCAAGCTCCACTTCAGTAATAATCAATTTACGATTTATATATTTATTCGCTATCTTTCAATGTTTTTGTTTCAAAAGAGACAGAACTATCTCTTTTTAATGCAAGCTCATCGTAGTTGCGATTGACTAGAACTGAAATACAGCGAGCGAAATTCGATTAATGAATTTTTACATCAAGTCTCACTTTAATTGTTTTCGAATTTCATTCCCCGCTTTTCCGCTTTTCCTCATAAATTTTCCTTCTTCCAAAAAACCAAAACAGGATGCACTTTGTTGACCAGCAACTGACACTAATGCGCTTCATTCATAAGTAAAGATACATCTCAAAGAAAAAAGAGTGCTGAATGCTAAGTTCAAGATCGAACTCAAAGATAAACGAAACAGTAATAATTTCCAATCACTGGGAAAGAATGGACGCTTTATGAATCCAGCGAACTTCGAAAGGTTTCAAAATGACATCTTCGGAGAGTTTTTTCACCAATAAAGTGACCGGAGATGTTTGCCGTTAGGCGATCAGATGAAAATATATGAGCTTTATCAAAAATGTCACCCAGCATGCCTTGCGAGACAAGTTCAACAGCTCCTGACTTGCACTCCGCCAAAAGCTCAATTCCTGGCATAGTATAAAAATTGGACTGGACTCTGTCTGCTGCTTCCTTTAAATTTTTAAGATCTGTGTAAACGGTTCTCAAACGACTCGATTAACAAACCGCAGTTAACGCGGCGTACATTTACTGAGTAACGGTATTAAGACTCTTTCGCAAAACCGACATCTCCAGCATTAACACATTAAATATTACAACAACATAAAAACCACACTTTTTTTTCGGACAACCAGAATTGCCACTTGATTCACTCTCAAGTCTTTACATTCCTTTAGTTTACAGCTGCTACAGCTGGAGAGGACATTTGAAACACAAAATAAATTGTCTCGTTTCTTTCTGTCCCCAATAGTAAACCAGTGGATTGAGGAGAGAGTTCAACATGGCAATCGTAGCGAACCATGAAGCAGAATAAGGAATGTTCAGTTCTGCTACAGTTAGTAGTAGGGTAGCCTCGGGCGAGAATCAAAACAAAACTGCGCCCACGTACTTTCTGTCTTCAACAGTAAATCAGTGGATTGAGAAAACAGTTCAATATGGCAATCGTATTGATCAATTGTACCGGACAAGGAATATTCAGTTCTACTATAGCTATGTACACTACTTTTAAGTGGTGTACATTTTCCAACATTGATTTTTTTCTGAGACTTTTACCACTGTAAGATGATGAGTTAGTTATGTAAGAAATGTGAAAAAATGGGGGGTCAACGACTTCGTTTGGGAGAGAACATGCCTAGAAGAACACCCGAAATCTGAAAAAATCGGGCTTCGTTAGCGAATAAGGCCAGTGTCTGTAAGCCCAAAAATATTGCAATTTAATCTTTGAAGTGAAATGTTCCCTGCCAAATATTGTTTAAGTAGACCTAGTAAGTGAATTTAGTCAACTAGTGAGGGTCCTTAAAAAACAAGTTCGCATTTAGCGCCCATAGTTTCACGCGCCTTGCAGCCGCAAGATGGTAGGATTCGATGTCCCGTGGACAGAAATCTTGATTTTTTTTTAACTTCCCACATTGATTTTTTGTTCAGTTTTGGACATTATGGAGATAATTGTAAATAAAATCTGTTTCTGGAAAGAGAAGTAGGGGTCACCGAATCCCATAAAATCGTTAAATCCAGGCTAAGCTATAGCAATGGCCATCTGCCCTATCATTGTATTACTTAGCGCGCGCTCTTATGCATGACGTGGCGTGTGAATTTGGGTGCGCAGTAAGGATGCGCAGAAACAATTAGCGCGAATGTCCTTAGAACTGTCAAAGCGGCCGCAGGTGAAAAGGATAACAAAACAGCACCGACTACATAAACAGTTGTCCCAAGTGCTTTTCTATCTTTGAAAAATCTTTCCCCTCTACTTGGGGTAACTGTTAAGCTTTGATTACATTTTGCTGAAGAACTTTTTCGTGTTAAAAAAAAAGACAAAAATCAAAGACAAAAACAAATTACGCCCTTCAAGAAACGGAAATAATTTTTAGTTCACTATTCATTTCACCTTGAGAAATGATTGGCGTTCGGCGATGAAAATAAGCTCGTTCGAAAATGTCACCCGCTATGCCTTGCTATTCGTTTTCAATACCGCCTGACTTTAACTCCAAGAAAGGCTCAATTGCCGCCTGAACCCGGTCTGTTGTCTGCTGCTATATTTGCATTTTATTTTTTCTTCTTGGTTTACTTGAAGTACCAACCAATCCATGTAAGATCAGCTGTAGGTGCACTTGTAAAATAAAAAAACATATTTTATATGTAAGGGAAGATTAGTTGGTTAGTTGGTTTGTTAGTTGGTTTTGCTGTCATTCAATATAAATTGCAGAAGCATCAGACTAATATTAGGACTAGGGTGAAACTGATTTAAGACTTGCGGTGACTTGACTCGGCAACGCTACCCTTTATGACAACTTTGAAGGTTTAATATTAACGAACATATTTTTCACCTGCTAAGGCCTTCGAATGTACAAGGTATGCGCAAAATTGAACAGTGAGCCGTGTACGCGATTTCTTTGATCTTTACTGACATTTAATAAGGACACCCAGTGTGGGAATCGTGTATGTCTTAGATAGGAACACGTGCATATTGTTGACCTAGCAATTATACATGTATATTGAATTAGATAGTATCGATTTCAGCGGCGAAGTCTTTCGTTCCTTTAATTTACAGCTGCTACAGCTGGAGAGGATATTTGAAATACAAATTGTCTCATTTCTTTCTGACGCCAACAGTAAACCAGTGTATTGAGGAGAGAGTTTAACATGACAATTGTGATGATCCATGGTGCGGAATAAGGAATGTCCAGATCTCCTATGTAAGACAAAATTGTTAAAACAGCCCCAGGTGAAAAGCATAACAAAACAGCGCCGACTACATAAACAGTTGTCTTAAGTGCTTTTTTCTCTTTGAAAAATCTTTCCACCTCTTCTTGAAGTAGCTGTTCTGTTTTAATTCTGTTTTGCTGATGAGCTGTTTCCTTGTACAAAATCGCGTAAGACATCACTATGAAAACGATGCAAGAAATCATGACGATAAATAATATCACGTTACCTATTTTTTTTCCCATCCCGTCATTAAATAACTGATTGACAAATGTCTGTCTAAGAATTGTACAACATAAAGCAAGAACCCAAAACGCAGATACTACCACCTTAATGTTAAGTGTTGTAACGAGATAAGGATACACAAAGGTATATTTGATGGCTATTAGCCTCTCACAAGTGACTAACATCAAATGGAGAGCCGACGAAAGAGTAACTGCAACTAAAAACAGAATGTGGAGATTATAGATAGCATCAGTGTTTATCCCACCAAGTATCTGTAATATCCCCCAGATTATGAAAGTTGGCTGGACGAGGAGACCAGTTAATGTATCCGTTAACGCCAGGCAAGCGAGTAAGATGTTGGCGTAACTCTGAAGTCTTGGTCTTCTTTTCACAGCCATTATGACCAACAAGTTGAGAGCGACAGTAACGGGGCAGGTAATGCTGTTAAATATGATGGTGACGATGTAGGTAACCTTGAGTGGGACATTAAGAGCTTCGCCATCCTTGGTGATATTTGTTACCGCTTGGGAAATGTTTCCCAGATTTGACGCGGACAGGTTAGTCATTTTGAGTTGAAAGAAAGTTTGATAACCCGGTACAATCGCCCTCTAGT